TGCCGGAAGTGCAGTTCAGACAGCGCTCGGTTCGCAAAGCACTCCTCTCCCTGGACATCCACAAGTCGAGTGGGCCTGACGGAATCCCCCCAATTGTGCTGAGGACGTGTGCTCCAGGTTTAACGCGTCTTTTCGGGTGCTCCTACTCCCTAGGCGTAGTCCCAAAATCATGGAAGACGGCTTTCTTCCACCCGATCCCTAAAACAGGCGACCGCTCAGACCCGTCAAACTACCGGCCTATCGCCATCATCTCCTTGTTCTCCAAAACAATGGAGTCCATTGTAAACTGCCAGCTCTTGAGGTACCTTGAGGATCACCAGCTGATTAGTGACCGCCAATACGGTTTTCGCCGTGGTCAGTCAGCTGGTGATCTTCTGGTCTACGTAACTCACAGATGAGCGGAGGCAGTAGAGTCCAAGGGGGAGGCACTGGTCGTTAGTTTGGACATTGCGAATGCCTTCGATCGGGTTTGGCACAAAGCGCTTCTTTCGAAGCTCCCTTCCTATGGGCTTCCCGAGAAATTGTGCGATTGGATCAACAGCTTTCTTGCAGATCGGAGCATCAAGGTCGTTGTAGACAGTGCAAGCTCCGATTGCAAGCCTATTAATATTGGTGTTCCACAAGGCTGCGTGCTATCGCAAACGCCGTTTCTTCTGCATATCAATGATATGTTGCAAACCCGTAACATTCATTGCTATGCAGATGACAGCACTGGTGATGCTTTTTACACCGGCTGAGACAATATTTCTCGGGAAAACGTCTCCGAGTGTCGGGACAAACTTGTGTCTGAAGTCGAGTCCTTGCTGAACAGAGTCTCAGATTGGGGGCGACTAAATCTAATCCAATTTAACCCCCAGAAGACACAAGTTTGCGCGTTAACCGCTAAAAAGAACCCCTTTGTCGTATCTCCTCAGTTTCAAGGCACTCCCCTTGTTGCCTCAGCCAGTATCGGAATCCTCGGCGTTGACATATCGAGTGACGTGCAGTTTCGTGGTCACTTGGAAGAGAAGGCCAAATTGGCCTCTAGAAAGCTTGGCGTGCTCAGCAGAGCGGGACTGACTGACACCGCCTGCAACTTTACAAGGCGCAGGTTCGGCCCCACATGGAATACTGTTCCCATCTCTGGGCTGGGGCTCCCCAGTACCAACTCCTTCCACTTGATCGCTTCGACGACCGAATGCTTTCCGATCGGATCGATTCACTGGCACTGCGAAAAGATGTTGCATCTCTTTGCATTTTATTTCGCATATACCATGGAGAGTGCTCTGTGGAATTGTTCGGATTAATCCCAGCCGCCAAATTTCGTGAACGCACTACGCGGCAAACGTCCCGATACCATCCACACCATCTGGATGCTTGGCGGTCCACCACAGTACGTTTCAAAAAGAGTTTTCTTCCGCGTACAACCTCTCTGTGGAATAGTTTACCACCGGCGATTTTTCCGATACAACCTGGGGACCTTCAAGAAAAGAGCTTACTCCTTTCTAAAGGGCCGGCAACGCACCTGCAATTCCCCTGGTGTTGCGGTTGATCATGGGCGGCGGTAGTTACTTAACATCAGGTGAGCCGCATGCTCGTTTGCCCCCCTCTTCTATAAAAAAATATATATTGTTTTAATTGTCGTTTGAGATTTTTGTAGTGACTGACGATTATTTTTGGTTTTGCAGATTCCCTTAGCAAAAAATGTTAGACAGATCTATTTTTATTAGGAATAGGTGAGATTTCCAAAAGGCATGCCATAAGACCATCCGGGAAAAATTTTTTGGGAGATTTCTAAAACGTTTTTGTAATAATACTTACAGATGATGTAGGACCTCACATTATCTGTGAATATTATATTACAAAAATGTTTTAGAAATCTCGAATCACACAATCTCATTCACACATCACAAATCACATTTGATTTCGTTGTCTGCAAAAATCTTGTGACTGAAGTGAAAAAAGTTACCCTTTTATGGTAAGTGTATGGAAATGACAGGTTCCCGCATGCTGAATATCAACTAGTTAATTTAGTTAGTCATTAGTCTCTGAGGTCCCGACAATTGTATTTTATCTGCGGCATTGACAATATACATAACATAATGAATTTAATTATGAAATCATTGCATTATTTTTCTGTGAAATTCACATTTCGTGGTTCTGCTTTCAGTACATTGACAGAATTAACGATTAATAAAAATGATTCCATAAGAATTAGATACGATGCAGTATGTCAGCCAAGTAAGTAAAAGAAATGAACCTCTTTTAAATCCCCTATAATAATAAAAAATACGATTACTACGCCTACGCACTTGCGATTAAATCTACCTAATGAGGCCTCTTTGAATGCCTAGAAACTCTAATTTTATTGATAAACCTAATAAAAGTTTTTGAATTATTGAGATCTGAAAGGGGTCATCTTTATCATTCACTGAAGTTTGATGAGCGACATCAAACTTCCAAGGCCACTTCTAGGTTACTTTGAAACTTGGAATCTCTCTTACGAATAAATTCATTATTTTTTGGGCTATCTATGTTGTTTTCTCATCTGGTTTGGTACTGATCTATAAATATTTAATTGTAAATGAAAATGATAAATATACATAATTATCAATAAAATAAAATAAATACAAAATAAATACATAAAATACATAAAAACTCTAGCAGATGGAAGCCCTCGGCAGGGGCGATCAAACGGCTGAGGGTTGGGGGTAAAGGGAAAGTAACCCGCGGTCGATGCGAGCGGTATCGAGGAGCACCGCCTTCTGTCGTCTCCTAGTCTCTGTCAAGTCCCAGTCGTCTCAGGTGACCCGAGAGGCTGACTGGGATTAACCGGTTCGCAGAAACCCCACATGTCGGTCATCTCGTGAGCCAAGTCCAGATATTTTATTCACTTATCTGTTTCGGCTTTCACGAGGTTCTCGTCGTACGAAATGGTAATGTTGACCAAAAATATCCTTGACTGTGCCCAGTCCAACGGCACAATATTGGGCTTATTCGCAAGAATCACAGAAATCTAAATAATAAGGCACTAGAAACGCCTTCTACTGTCTTTTAATATCGGGACGCGTGTCGCCAGGTCGTAGCTTATCACACATAGACAAACAATAAATACACAATTACGCCAACAAATATCTCTAGCATTCGTGCAACAAAGATTAATCTATAAATTGTTGCGTTAAGGAATATTTTATAAAAACGCAAAATCTCAGGAGGCGTAGCAACTCGGTCCAATAATTAAAGTGTGCGAAAAACAGAGAATTACATTGCACGCTCGCTCTCACTTGGGCATAGTGCAGGCAACGCACGTTTCGATAACTTTCCAAGAGTCTTACACCAAGATATAACTAATTAACAGAAATTGTCTCAGTAATAGTCGCTTTTGGTCTTAGCTTTAGCTTTGAGATGTTTTATAATTAGAAAAAAGGGGATATAATAATACGTTAAGAATAAATATAACCATTTATCTTTAATAACCGGATCTTTTGGAAGCTTGTAATAAAAGTATTGTATTAAACTATTAAATAAACAGTTGTATAAATAAAATGAATACAACATTATACAAACAGCAAACGAATAAATATATGTATAGGTGACATATTCACCATTTTTATTAGTTTTAAAGATATGTAACTGACTTTCTGTTTGCTACTTTTCAGTTTCTCGGCTTCTTACAGATCGAATTAAAACTACTATCCTTACAATATAACTGATTAAAAATTTATTAAGTAATTTAAAAGTACAAACAGACAGATTATCGCCGATAAACGGTTAACGGTATAAAATATTTAGAAAGAAAAAAGTAGAAAGATGTAAATAAATATTTAACGAAAAATCACATTTAATTCTCGTTTCGCTAAAACTAGGTAAGCGAAACATAATAAATTATCGATACAAAATAGTTGTGTCACGTAACTGACTTGCATTCGACACCTGCGGCCGTATTCTAGGAAATTTACGTACACAACAATTTTGTTTTTTGCCCATACTATAAATCCATCTCAACTGATCTGATTTTAGCTGTCGTACTCGTAGACATGAACTAGCTTAAGAATCAATGGATATTGAAATGTGAAAACAATTACAATTTCGGAGACAATCGTAGTACTGGAGGTAAATAATTTTATAATTCGGTTTTGCGCCTGCGTTCAGTTGAGTCGTGTATTTGGTTGATGTAAATTTTATTCTAAAATTCGCTTTTAAAAATTTGTGATTGGGTGACTTAGTCCCTTATCAGTCTTGTGTTATTTACGGAGCGGCTCCTCCTCGTGGGTGGACCTAGAGTGAAACAACATATTGTATTCTGTGGTTCCTGTTCCGAAAGTAAGCATCCTGTTTGAGGAGTCTTCTGAGTTTTGAACCTCGTACGCAGTTTGTTCCACGAACTGCGTCGCGCCAATTGAGCCACCCAGCTAGTGACGTAAGTCACAAAACTACGCTTCGCTAACTGCTCACCGGGTAACGTCATCCATATTATTTATTTACTTTTCATCGCTGTGTATAGAACTGGGGCTTCTGTACTTCTACACACGTTAGAATGTCGAAGTGTGCTGTATGTGGGCGATTTGTCAGTTCTGCGGAAGGTATTAAATGTACTGGGTGTAGCAGTATTTATGATCGATTATGTCTTAAAATGCCTAAGAGCTTTAAGATGCCGCAAAAATGTATGTGTCCGGATTGTATAAGTAAACAGCCGCGTAAAGACAATTCGGATACGCCAATTAAGGTGCTAACAGATCTTAATAAAAGCGAATCTTCGGCGTCTTCACCATTAGAGTATTGTGACTCTGATGACAAATGGTCACAAATTATGCAGGAACTTAAATCCGAAATAATATCAATGCGCCAAGAAATTAATAATTTTAGCGCAAAATTTGATAAAGTTTATACGGCGGTAGGCGATTTATGCAAGCGAGTCGACTGTATGGAACACAGATTAGATACGCTTGAGCAACAAAAAAAATTGTGAACCACCTTCAAATTGTAGTAATGAAATTAGTGAAATGATGGAATGTCTTAAAATGGAGCTAAATGACCGTGACCAAGAACAACTTCTTATGGATGTAGAAATTTCCTGCCTCCCAGAAGTTAAAGGCGAAAATCCGACACACCTCGCTATTCTTATTGCCGAAAAACTGGCTGTGAAGTTGTCTGAGGAGCATATTGTTAGTGCGGAGCGTATGGGACCGCCACGCAGCTGTGTCGAGGGAGAAGGTGTACCTAAACCGCGGCCGTTAGTGGTGCGATTGATGCGGCGTTCATTGCGTGATCAACTAGTGCGGAGTGCAAGGGTGCGTCGAGGCGTTGATAGTAATGGCTTCAATCAGCCTGGCTCGCCAAGAAAATTTTATTTCAATGAACGTCTGATGCGTACAAACCGTCAGCTTTTTTATAAGGTCCGCCAAGAGGCCTCAAAGCATGGCTGGAAATATGTATGGACGCGTGATGGTCGTATTTAGGTTAGACGTCGAAACGATACTGAAGCACGTCGTATATGATGCGACCTTGACATCAAAAAGGTTTTTGGCGAAAATGCTGTTGGCTTATAATAATATGTAGAAAAATAGTTTTTTTCATAAAATATTTAATGTGCTTAGTGTGCTTTTATGGCTTATATGTTTTCCGAACAATCTATAACGAAGTGCATCGGTGTTGTGTGCTATGCATCGATTATTTTTCTGCGCCTAATTGTTTATTGCCGCAACACATTCTCATGCTTATTATCTTATTATTTGTCGCAGGGCTCATCACGAGTGATGTGGTGCCAATATTTCAAATATTTGTTCATGAAGAAGGTGTTACGTTTATTAGTATTAACTTAATAAATATTTGTTATTTGTTATATATAATTATAACGTTGTTTCTGTATATATATATATTTGTATATCGTATTGCATTGCTTGATTTTCGTAATATTTGTGCTAGATAATTTAATTACGAATAATCCCGGATTACATAGTCGTTACTGTTGCTCATATAACTTGTTTTATAACGCCTTGTATATAACATTGCTGTTATTTGTAGCTGCCTATACAATTCTATTTTTATATAAACATACTATTTGCTACAAACAGCTTTTCTTAGCAAGGGCGCGAAAATAAATAAAGTTAAGGTTGGCTTTCTTAACCCAGGCTCCCTAGGAACAAGACACGATGAATTTATAGTTGCAATGCAAGAGCATGACGTAGATATCATGGCCATAAATGAGACTTGGCTTCGAGAAGGTGAGGATGGCCGTGCACCTGTAGTTCCCAATTACCGTCTACGTCGTATTCCGCGATCTGAGACGATCCGAGCACGCGGTGGAGGGGTAGGCTTTTACGTACGTCGCACAATGACCGCCCGGGTATGCACACACCCTACTGCATCCCTAGTCGAGCAAATGTGGCTTAGTTTAAACATAAATGGGACAAAACTCATCATAGGCACGGCATATCGTCCGCCATGGCTAGATGTTGACTCGTTTTTTGATGCTTTAACCGATACTATATCTTCTTTTTCCTTTTTTGACTATATAATAATATTAGGTGATTTCAACATTAATTTATTAAACTGTGATCGTAACTCAGAGAAATTTAATGATTTCATAAAATATTTTAATTTAACACAGTACGTAACACAGCCTACACATTTCACAGAGCATAGCTCAACATTACTTGATATAATTTGCAGTGATGTTGTAGTCACAAAGGTAAAAGTGGATTTTATACCGAGTCTAAGTAATCATGCCTTCATAGAATCAGAACTTCAAATAACAAAACCAAAATTACCTCCCCGTAAAATCACATATCACTCACTAAAAGACATCGATATAAATATTTTTGATAATGACATTGACTCTATTGACTGGGAAGCAATTTCAAACCTAGTAGATGTAAACGAGATGGTGCTTCAGTTTAACAACGCCATAACTTTCATTTTTGATTGTAACGCACCCATCAAAAGTACTCGTATTAAAGAAAATACATATCCCTGGATTACATATACTATCCGTCAGATGATGAAATTACGTAATGAAGCTTATAAGCGTTATCGTTCGTCTGGACTGAGCAGGCATAGAGATTATTACAAGCTGAAGAGTCATGTAATTACAGCATTACAAAATGAAAAGCGTGCGTATTTTAATCAGTATATAAACCGTAACCTGAATAATTCTAAAGTTCTCTGGAAAAACCTGAAGCGTTATTCTAATCTAGCCAGCAAACACCGTATTACTGAAATCCCTGAGCACTTACAAAACCCAGATAGACTGAACTCTCATTTTTGTACGGTACCCGGTAAAAGTGTAACACCAATGTCGAGTCTTACTTATTACGAATTTTATCGTTTTGAAAACGTGTATTTTGAGTTAAAGCCCACTGATGAAACCACAGTTTCAAAAGTCATACGATCACTTAAATCAAATGCGTTAGGCAGTGACGGAATATCTCTTGAAATGTTGCTACTGACGCTTCCACGTACACTCAAAGTTATAACAGCCATTATAAACGCTTCACTTCGCACATCTACTTTTCCCGACGTCTGGAAAACAGCCATAGTTAGGCCTCTGCCCAAAAAAATAATGTGTCAGATATAAAAGACTTAAGGCCAATTAGTATTCTACCTTGTTTATCAAAGGTTCTCGAGAAAATCGTATGTATGCAGCTTTCAACTTTTTTAGAGTGTAATAATATATTACCCGTTTTTCAATCCGGATTCAGAAAGGCACGAAGTACATCAACAGCCTTAATGGATGTGGTTGACAATATTTTGACATCACAAGATAATGGACAGGGCACGATACTGGTCTTGTTTGATTTTTCCCGAGCATTTGATGCCATAAATATTCCATTATTGTTATCCAAAATGAGTTACTATGGTTTTGAATTGCCTGCTGTTCGATGGTTCAACAGCTATTTATCCAATCGGACACAGATAGTAACTATTAACAAAAACAATGGCGCTCAGCTGTGCTCGTCTCCATGTCCTGTAACCAGGGGAGTACCTCAAGGATCTATACTTGGTCCATTTATTTTTATTCTATACACAGCAGACGTATGTCACCATATAAAGCACAGTAAGTTCCACCTATACGCCGATGATATACAGATTTATCTCCCATTTTTTCCTAGCGAAGAAGAAAGTGCAGTAGCAAAAATAAATGAGGATTTGCATCGCATCTCATTATGGTCAGAAGCGAATACACTTGTGCTCAACCCATGTAAATCAAAATTCATGTTGTTAGGGTCAAAAGGACAGGTTGATCGTATAATGAAAAAGAAATTTATTATAAGCATACGTGGAGAACCGGTGGAACGTGTAAGTGAGACTCGTAATCTAGGATTGCTGATGGACCAGGGTCTTCGCTTTGAGAATCATATACTTGAGATCACACGCAACTGTTTTTATAGACTCAAAGTACTCTACCAAGTGCGTGATTATCTCAGTAAAAACGTCCGCTTGCGCCTATGTGAGTCACTTGTACTTTCAAAATTCGGGCACGCAGATACTGTGTATGGTCCTAGACTATTTGCTAAAACAAATAGGTCAATACAAAGGGTGCAAAACGCATGTGCAAGGTACATCTTTAATATTCCTCGATATCATCATGTACATCCATATCTTAATAAGTCGGACATATTAAGGATGTCATTGAGAGATTTACATCTAGCCACGCTTCTGTTCGGATGCATAAAATCAGAAAGACCGGAATACCTCTATCAAAAATTAAAATGGAGAAGAGCAGATGATTGTCGAAGCATCAGAACGGGTACACCAATTCAGGCAATCCCATTTCACCGAACAGCCGCGTTTCGTGGTAGTTTTAGATACATGGCCACTAAATGTTGGAATAATTTACCACCACCTTTACGGGAATCTAAATCTGTAAACGGTTTTAAAGCTCAACTAAAAAAACACCTTTTAGCATTTCAAAAATCATGATTTCACGTGTAGTGGCAGGTTATTTCATGGGTACAGTTTAACAAATATATACGAATAATTAATATTAATATAGTAAAATCTAAAATGTTTTTATGCTGATATTTTTATGTGCGAGTGTGTATATGCACGGGTATGTATATGTATTTTTTTTTAACAATTATGGTTATTCTTAAAAATGTACACTTTGAGTGAATGGTTGATTTATTTATTTTTTAATGGAATATTAGCACCGATAACAGCGCAGGCGCAATATCGAATAAATACTATTTCAGGGCTCCGCTGAAAATCAGCGCTGCTGCAGTACGTGTGGTAGCATATGCTGAGTCGGAGTCTTTTTGGCATCACATCACTCACTCTTGCCGAGACTTATTTTTAATTATGTTTACCATCTTGTACCTTGTGTGTTTTTATGTTTTTATTTACTTTTAAACGTATATTTTGTGAGTGTATTGATGCAAATAAAACTTACGTTATGTTACTTATGTTATAATGATTTCTTATGTTTACGCGAACACTATACAATGATTAAAACTACTTTTACGGATTATATCGCGTTTAATTTTATTTTTACTTATTTTATTTTTAATTCTCGACGTTTCGTATGCTTTCCAGCACCCAAGGTCACGGGGGACTGAGGTGACCGACGTCCCAATGTCATTGTTAAACCTGGAGTACCTTCACCTTTTTTAATTATTGTTTTTTATGGTTATTTTATGCTGGTAATTTTTATGGTCCGATCTATGCAAAATGAACTGACTATGTCCTGAGGTCTGCAAGGCCAACAATAATTAAAAAAGCTGGAGGTACTCCGGGTTTAACAAAGACATTGGGATGTCAGTCACCTCAGTCACCGTGACTATGGGTGCTGGAAAGCACCCGAAACGTCTGAAATTAAAAATAAAAATAATTAAAAGTAAAATTAAACGCGATATAATCCGTAAAAGTAGTTTAAATCAATGAATAATTTCATTTAAGGAAAGTTTTTTTTTATAGAAGAGGGGGGAAACGAGCATGCGGCTTTTCGTGGAGGTCCCCAGGTCGTATCAGTCCGGAAAAAGAACCGGTGGTAAACTATTCCACAGAGAGGTCGTACGCGAAAGAAAACTCCTTGTGAAACGTACAGTGGTGGACAGCCAAGCATAAAGATGGTGTGGATGGTATCGGGAAGTTTGCCGCGTAGTGCGTTCACGAAATTTGGCGGCTGGGATTAATCCGAACAATTCCTCAGAGCACTTCCCATGGTATATGCGAAAGAAAATGCAGAGATGCAACATCTCTTCGCAGCGCCAGTGAAGCGAGCCGATCGGAAAGCACACGGTCGTCGACGATTCGAGCCGCTCTGCGCTGGATGCGGTCAAGTGGAAGGAGCTGGTACTGGGGAGCCCCAGCCCAGAGATGGGAACAGTATTCCATGTGCGGCCGAACCTGCGCCTTGTAAAGTTGCAGGCGGTGTGCCGGCATGAAATTCAGTCCCGCTCTGCTGAACACGCCAAGCTTTTTAGAGGCCAATTTGGCCTTCTCTTCCAAGTGACCACGAAACTGCACGTCACTCGATATGTCAACGCCGAGGATTCCGATACTGGCTGAGGCAACAAGGGGAGTGCCTTAAAACTGAGGAGATACGACAAAGGGGTTCTTTTTAGCGGTTAACGCGCAAACTTGTGTCTTCTGGGGGTTAAATTGGACTAGATTTAGTGCCCCCAAGAACCTGTTTAGAAAGGACTCGACTTCAGACACAAGTTTGTCCCGGCACTCGGAGACGTTTCCCCGAGAAATATTGGCTCGGCTGGTGTAAAGAGCATCACCAGTGCTGTCATCTGCATAGCAATGAATGTTACGGGTTTGCAACATATTATTGATATGCAGAAGAAACAGCGTTGGCGATAGCACGTAGCCTTGTGGAACACTACCATTAATAGGCTTGTAATCGGAGCTTGAACCGTCTACACGACCTTGATGCTCCGATCTGCAAGAAAGCTGTTGATCCAATCGCACAATTTCTCGGGAAGCCCATAGGAAGTGAGCTTCGAAAGAAGTGCTTTGTGCCAAACCCGATCGAAGGCCTTCGCAATGTCCAAACTAACGGCCAATGCCTCCCCCTTGGACTCTACTGCCTCCGCCCATCTATGAGTTAGGTAGACCAGAAGATCACCAGCTGATCGACCACGGCGAAAACCGTATTGGCGGTCACTAATCAGCTGGTAATCCTCAAGGTACCTCATGAGCTGGCAGTTAACAATAGACTCCATTGTTTTGGAGAACAAGGAGGTGATGATAGGCCGGTAGTTGGACGGGTCTGAGTGGTCGCTTTTTTTAGGGATCGGGTGGACGAAAGCCGGGTTCCATGATTTTGGGACTACGCCTAAGGAGTATGAGTACCGGAAAACACGCGTTAAAACCAGTGCCAACTCTGGAGCACACGTCCTCAGCACAATTGGGAGGATTCCGTCTGGCCCACTTGACTTGTGGATGTCCAGGGAGAGGAGTGTTTTGCGAACCGAGCGTTGTGTAAACTGCACTTCCGGCATGGAGCACTCACACCGCGGGGTAGTCGGCGGCGTACCCTCCCCCCCGTCATCGAGAGTCGAGTTGGACGCAAAGAGCCGAACTAACGAAGTACCGAAGGCGAACTAGTTTCTCGCCAATTCTGCCTATGTTCTCTGACTTTGCCTTGGCAATGACTCTTTTGAGGGACCTAGAGGCGGAATTATACTTCTTTTCTAGAGCGCTGGTGTTTAGATCCCGGTACGTTCATGCGTCAGCCCATGCTTGGTAGCACTCCTGCTTATAGCATGATGCTATTTTACAGGAGCGACCAAACCATGGCTGAGATTTGCCTCCAATGGGCACCATAGAGGAAGAAATAAAAGGTTCCATACCCTGAAGTACCACATCAGCGACAGAATCCGCAACAACGTTGGGATCGTCCGGCGAGAAGCAAACCCGCCCCCAAGGGTAGGATGCAAAGAAACACCGCATCCCATACCAATCGGCTGACCTACAGTGCCAAACACGGCGGCAGCCTGCAGAATGTAACTGCGATTTCAGCGTGAGTAGCACCACACTCCGGACAACACAATGGTCCGAGGAGCCTAAAGGGGCGACGACGGAAATCTGATACCCGTCCGGGTTTGAGGTCAGCAGAAGGTCCAACAGCGAAGGTGCATGATCCTCCACATCTGGAATCCGCGTAGGCGAAGTAACCAGTTGTGTCAGACCATATACCAAGGCAAAATCAAGAACAGATCTCCCCGCATGATCGGTTATGCGTGAACCAAGCCATTCGGCGTGATGGGCGTTAAAGTAGCTGAGGATCACGATCTCTGCGGAGGGGATCTGCTGTAGCAACGAATCTGTAGCCATGTGGACGTGGTCGAAGAGTCGGTCTTTTTCGGCATTACCGCTATGGGACCTATAGAGGCACCCGTAGACGCGCAGATAGTCGTCGCTGTCTACGCATAGCCAAAGGATGGACAGATCCGTACCATAAAGTCTGCCGAGGTACGAGACATCAGCTGAAGAGGACACCTGCGTCTCGGTCAAAAAGAGCAGAGCCGGCCTCGCCGTCTCGAGACGGTAGTGTACGGCGTTTAGGTAAGTATAGCCTCATAATTGACGATCACGGTTGACGCATCCTATGGGACATCATAGTAGTGCGGACTTTTCTATCCAGGGCGTTAAGTTCAGATTGAGTCCATCTAAGTATGCCAAAGGTATACATGAGTATAGGCACGAGTATAGGATGACTGGAAGGCTCTGGGCGGGGACATGCATCCCCGCCCGGAGCCTTCCAGTAAAGTACTGAGAGGATTCAAAGGGAGGCAGAACCAGAATGGAATCAGACAATCGCTCTGGAAGATAACCCTTCTTATCCTTGTGTGGCTTTCCGCAGCCATTATCCGTTCGCCCAGACGACGAAGTATCATACTCGACAGTCCCATAAACTACTCGAGGAAGTCTTTAACTATATAGTCAACCTCATACAGCTCGAGGACCCTCTTTAGCCAGGGCAGCGAGTCGAATGTCCTTCTGTAGCCTATCCAAACGGCGGAAAAGTTCCAACGGTTGCGTTTTATCACTTAGCCAATGAATACCTTGGTTCAACGACCACCGCCATCCATTTTGGTAGCGATACGTTCCTCAATTATTATTCCCCAGGCTGGAATAGCGCTACTTTGTGCAGTAGTGCGTCCCGCCGTGGAAAATTTGGCACCTATGATACGGCAGACTGCCATTGCGGTGCCAAAAAGAATTAAATCCGTCTCGCAAAGGTCCCGGCTGGCTTCCAAAAAGATTATCAGCATTCGGCTTAGTGCCTTCACGACAGCCCGATTCCGCTTGCTTAGGGTTATGCGGGGAAGTCGCGGTCGATTTTCGAGAGGCATACTGCATGTTTCCACAATCGCCTCTTCCAACGTACTCCCCATTTTCTCTAGTTCCAGTTCCTGGGTGACTGTTCCATCATCGTTTGAGTCAACCACAACTGGGGTATTCACGGCGGCATCCATATTTGCGGATTATTAGTTATTATTATTGGGATTTTCCATCAAAGTAAATTATGAGGCATTTACAATAAAAAAAAACTCTAAAAAAATCGGGTTGTAACCCCGTTGTGGACGCAGCCGTGCATTTTGCGTGAATACGTGTACGTAACGAAATGACCTCAAAATGGCGGCGCTCCCACCTCCGCCACGCGCGATTTGTTACAGTCCTCACTTAACGTAACAAACTCTTAAATCCTTTAGCTTTCAATCGGTGTAGTTAAATTTGGATGTAGATGATAGATATACAGCTGCAACACCAAACTGTATACTTACCCCGATTTGGTTATCATCAGTTTTCTGAATCGCTTCCCACTAAAGAAGCAAATTTAAAGCCGTATTCACGTCAAAACTACAATTTATCGATATTAAACATTAGTTCACACAAAACTCTTTAATAGAATTAAGGCAAAGAATATGTTACAACCAAGCTTATATTTACTCAAACTGAATATATTATAAGACGCAAAGTTAAGCTCTAGCGCTATTCTTAGTCGTTGATAGTCTAAATGAATTATTATTCTAATTATGGTTTTAGGTACATACGGTTAAAATTAGTTTCAATATAAATCTTTGGAATTAGACTGTAGATTTGTTAGTATTGTAGTTAATTTCTGTCTAATGAACAAGTTTCGTTTATGTACACACATCAGAAATGTTTGCGATCAGTTTGAAAATTCGTAATCTTTTCTGTGATGGTAGACTAGGTATATTATATTTTTTCTTTTCAGATTATTTACTCAAAAATATAGAATTACAATAGAAAACCAATTCAATTGTTTTTCCATACAAAAATAAATTCAATCCAAGCTTACGCTCATTCAGAAATCTTACTTGGTCGATTTTAATGAAGTTCGAGAAAAGTAGTAGTTTTGATTGAAAAAATGCCTAGAATTTTTACGAGCAAGAATTGTCACCTCGAGGGAAGAAAGATATTACACGAGAAAAACAGCACGCAGAGTTGTCCAATCCTGTGTCGTGGCCACGTTGCAGAGGTACCAAAGCATGGTTAATTAAGTAAAGTAATCAATGCCACTACAATAAAATCAGAAGTGCGGGCTGCCTCTGGACTTGAACTTAGCACTCAGACCATTCGCGATTGCTTACCCTAGCTTAAACTACGAACACAGATATCCTGGCGAGCACCTCTGAATTTAGGGCAACGTCAGCGCAGGAGATTGCAGTGGGCTAGGCTCCGGCAAAATGAAGAAGATGAGGTGTAAACCATTTAGCAAAACTGTTTCTTCGTTGACGAATCGGGAATCAATACTCACCCAGATAACTGACGAGACCGTGTTTTGAGAAGACCTTTATACTCTGAAAGGCAAAGAACTGCCATTATAACTATACAGATAGGCGGGAAAACGTCCTTTTGGAGTGGAATTATGATTGGAGCTAGAACACCTTTGATCCCGTACTAACGACCCATGACGGCAAACTGGTACAAAACAGTCACTATTGATGAAATTTTCACGCCATTCCGAGTAAACCATGGACACCAATTCGTGCTAGTCGATGATAATGAGCTCGCAAATCGAGCTCAATGAGTCAATGCTGCTCTCCGAGAATACGACATTACAAGGTTAGATTGGCCTGCCGGCTCGCCTGACTTAAACTCAATAGAGCACCCGAAATGTCGGGAATTGAAGAATTAATTCTCGACGTTATGGTTACGGGGGGGACTGAGATGTTTGACGTCCCAATGTTATTTGTCGTCAATTGTCATCTACCAGTAGTTTTTAGTTATCCTTAATACTGCGTATTTAACTGACTTCGATATTACTTTTTTTTATATTGAAGTCAGTAGTACAAATATTTTTTTTACTACTTGTCTTACAATCCTTTTGTCGTTCATTCTGTAGTTATATTAATAAAATCTTTTAGAAATATTATGTTATATTAGAATCAGTCATGATTAATTCATGAAAATGAAGCCTTGAACATGAAGTCCGTCTGAAAGGAGATAAATGTTCCCCCGTGGCAACATACTGCTGTTGAAAATTAATTTATCTTTGAGAATTTGTAGGTACATTTATTTATCGTTATATTATATTAAAAACTAATTTATAAAAGCTTTAGCAGGAAATTTTAGTGCTATTTGCCACATTCTTGGCGGGGAATCAAAACAACGCGAGAAAACTTTTATGGCTGAGATATTGAAAAAAATATTTAGAAGACATGTGACGTTCACCAAAATGCATTAAGACACCGCGATGGACACTTCTTTACCCTAAAACACCCTCTTACAAATGAATAAAGGCCTGTACCTAGAAGTTGGACAGATATAGCCTGTAACTCTAATCTATACGTGGTAAAGCCACGCTGCAGCTGTTCAGCTATGCTAAAGTATAAAGGATTTTTACCCTTATAAGAAATGCCTGTAATTATACCGGCTCTGCATGCTGTTCAGAACGGAACACAGTAGTGCTGAATAGGGTGATACCTGTCCAGGCGGACTGCTGAGCAGAAAAAGATATAGTAAGTCTAGCACCTAGTGAGCCTTTCCCAAAATTTCACCCATGGGATAAAATGGGTTGGTGAACTCTCTTGACACTCAGCAAAATGAAGAATTCAAAATAAATTAAATAAAACTATATACACGGATTTTATCCCGTTTAATTTATTTATTTTTAAATCTTGACGTTTCTGGTGCTTTACAGCACCCATAGTCACGGTGGGACTGAAATATTTGACGTCCCAATGTCATAGTTAGCCCGGCTATCTTCAGTTTTTGAATTTTAATTTTTGTTCTGATGTACGCAAAACGAGCTTACTTCTTAGTCTTGCAGTGGTATGCTTGGGTTTGTGATGAACTTTGTCAATTATAGGATCCCAAGCAGATGGCACCACTCATCCATCTTCTCGATTGAAATTAGGAGATGTTTTTAATTTGAATAGCCTTGCCTATCATCCTTGGTAGGAATCGGTGCTCTTTTGGGAGGATTTGTGGTTTCTCATCAAATCTGATGTAATGGTGGGAACAATCTTGAACATGTCACAGACTGCAGACTTCCCGGAACGTCGGTGCTTCACGTCAGGTATATGTTCGTTCACTCGGGTATTTATAGATCTTTTTGTTTGACTTATGTAAGAGAGACCCCATTCACAGTCTAGCTTATACACTCCTGCAACGTCAGAAAATCCTGCAAACATCCACAATTAAAATAAGTTAACTAAACGCGATAAAATTCGTATATGTAATTTTATTCAATGACTAGAGTTCGCATACATTTAAGAAATTTTATTCTAAATAAAAATAATTTAGTTTACTCGTTTACTCATGTGGCACACGATTTAGCCTACCAGTCAGTCAAACATGGCAACTATGGCAAATATTCCCTATTACGAGTATATGTAGTGGACTATTGATAAGCTGTAACTGTAATTCTGCAATAAAGGCAACTTAAGGACTAAGATAAATTAACAGAGAAGTCGCGTATCTCAAACATAGTAGCGACCACCTGGTAAGGATACCATCAAGTGGACTGTAAGTTTCATTTGTCACATAAATATTTATAATAAGAAAGTACTCTATACTTAAGCAGCTAGACATGCGAAATTTAAAACGAACCCCATTCACATTTATAGGAGCATTGTACGCGACCGAATTCTTAAGTGTTTGCTACTCTGTAACGGTATCTATTATTCGAATGATTCTTCATTTATCTCGTTTTAAATGCGCTATTGTCTGTGGGCCTCAACATCCAATTACCATCAGGAGGACTATGTGCTCGTATGTTAACCCTATTCTATGAAAAAATTTCGGATTTCTGATTGATACAAAGTTTACCATCTGTTTTGTTAGCATATAACTACACCATTGTTAAAACTTCTTTGTTCGGACAAACGTAGATAATAGCAGATTTGAGCTACTATATTTTAACCCACCTATTTTATACCTCTCCTTCATCTACAATTATTCCCTTTCGGATTTCTGTTGACTTCATTGTTTCAAAATTTCTGTTTTGTTAACACGAAACCAAACCATTGTGAAAACTTATTTAATTAGAACACCGTTGTTTACTAGCAGGCTTGAGCAATGTCGGTTAGTCTTTTGTTTTTTGAGCTGTGTGTTGTAAAGTTTATTATTACTGGAGCCGCAGTAACTAAGAGATAAGCGCACAGCTTAAAATTTATAGTGAACAAGTAAACCGAGTTCTTTACTTGCCAATGAAATTGGTACCGTATAATGGTGGTGTAGGAATATCCACTGCACAATATTATCCCTTGAAGGCGACAGAGGGAAACAAATCAGGAGATGGGCAGCAGCGTGTTCCTGGTAACGATAGAACAAACTGCGGTTGCTAATATGCTTGCCAAGCGTGGCAAACGTGGCAAATGTCTCTACTGTGAGGCAATCTATGGGGGAGGCCTATGTTCAGCAGTGGACTTTAATAAACAGCAACGGAAATTGTTAATTGCAATTATTTAAAGTACTGATTTACCATGTGCCAAGACCGATAACACATTTGCAATTGTCATTTACCATCAGCTGAGCTGCATGCTTGTTTGCCGCTCTTATATAAGAAATAATATGTTCGACGTTAAGGGAAAATGGCTTTGATGACTCCGTGGCGCAGTGGCTTAGCCATAAGTTACGGCGCTGAGGGCCACGTGTTCAAATCCCGCACTGAACAAGTATTTGTATGGCCTACGAATAATTGTTCCGGATCTCGATATTTGCCCTGGTACAATTTATGTATGTAAACTGTCTCCATGGTATAGGAGAAAGTCCTAATGAGAGGGTAAAGTTTTTTCAGAAAGAGAATATCTTAAGATTTTTTGACTAAGTATTTCTTATGCGCTCGTTTTGAAACTGTAGTATATCTAAAAATAAGTTGTTATATCATGTGACGAGCATGTATGCGTAGGCATATCAAGGTAAGCCAATCGAGAGATGTGTGTCAGGTTCGTGCAAAATAGAAGTCCGTATTCTCTGCCTACTGCTCTCGGTGACAGGCGTGAGA